TGCTTGTGGAGACTTGACCACCAGAAGACGTTACAAGCATGGTTATCCATTTTAACACTGGCTGTACCTCCTTTCATGCCCTAGGATACACTGGGCCTAGATTGAGTCTGCAAACTTGTTGATTCCAACTGTTCACAAGAGCAGAACCTGCCTTATGTAAAAGACTGTTTTCCTTTAAAGTGGCAGGTTTTTTGTTTCTGTTTGTTTTTGCTTTGTTTTTGCCACCTGCAGCACAAAAGGTCCAGTCTATGGAGACTTGGAGTTAAATTCTGACTGCCTTGAGGCAACTCCTTTCTGGCTAAATGTGGTCAGTTACTCTGGTGAATGGTGGTAGGTAGAGGGGTAACATATTTTCTAAATTTGTATCCTTTTAAGCCTTAGAAACTGTCTAGGGCCCTCTTTTCTTTCTATATACTTCCTCAATGACCTCATTAACTCCCATGGGTTTATCATATTCCTACAGATGACTCCCAAATCTATATATTCAGCCCTAGTTTTCTGAGCTCCAATACTCTATCACCACCTAACTATTGAACATTTCCAAATGAATATCCTGTTGTTGTGCAGTCATTTTTCAGTTGTGTTTGACTCTTCGTGACCACATTTGGGGTTTTCATGGCAAAGATACTGGATGGTTTGCCATTTCCTTTTCCAGCTCATTTTACAGATAAGGAAACTGAGGCAAACGAGGTTAAATGACTTGCTCAGGACCACACAACTAGTAAGTGTCTGAGAGTAGATTTGAACTCAGGAAGATGAGTCTTCCTGACTCCAGGTCTGGTATTCTATCCATTGTGCCACCTAACTGAATCTCCTGTTAAGTATCTCAAATTCAAGATGTCTATAAAACAGAACTCATTATCTTAACCCTCACATTCACCTTTTCCCCAAACTTCTCTTATTTCTGCCAAAAGCAGAAAAGCTAATAGTGTTTTGACTTGCCATGTCAGAAAATGTATGCCCCATTCCACACATGTAGCTCAACAGCTTTATACTGGGAAGCAGGTCTGTTTCAGTATAACCCTTTATTGGTTATTTTGCAAAGCAGCAGTATAAAATGGACTAGATGGCCAATGTTGTCTCTTCCAACTCTCAGGGTCTGTGACTAATGAATCCAGGAGATTAGCTGCTGATACCAAAGTAGTTCTACTAATCCTTGTTTTTTTTTTTTAATTAAGTCTTTCTTCTTTTTTGGGGGGGGGGGTGGTGAGGCAATTGGGGTCGAGTGACTTGCCCGGAGTCACACAGCTATTGAGTGTTACGTGTCTGAGGCCGGATTTGAACTTGGGTCCTCTTGATTCCAGGGCCATACCCTCGGTGCTTTATCCACTGCACCACCGAGCTGCCCCTTACTAATCCTTGTTTTTATGCTCATCTGATCTATTTATGACTGATATATTCAAAGTTACCTAGGTCTACTTACCTTTGATTGGCATATTTATAAAAGGATCTAGCTTGCTTTGCCTCCCTATTACATCAAGATTATGACACTCAGTTCTCAGTAAGACATTTTAAAAAGAGGATTAATAAGCTGGGGAGTGTCCAGGAGAGGGCAACCAGGATGGTGAAGGGCCTGGAGTTCATGCCAAATTAGGATTGAAGAAACTAGGCATGTTAAGTATGGAGAAAACACTGGAGGATTGATAGTGGTCTTCCAGTACAAAGTCAAAAGGAGTTGTCCAGTGGAAGAGGATTGGACTTGTTCTGCTTGGACTCAAAGAACTAGGAGAAACTGGTCACATTTGCCTAAAGGCAAATTGAGATTGATATAAAGAAAAGCTCTTTAAAAAAAATTAGAGCTCTCACCACTGCTAGGTCTGTACCCCAAAGAGATTTTTAAAAAAAACAACAAGGAAAAGGACATTTTTGTACAAAAATATTTATTGCAACTCTTTTTGTGGTGGCAAAGAATTGGAAATTGAGAGGATGCCCATCAATTGGGGAATGACCAAACAAGTTGTGGTATATGATTGTGATGGAATACTATTGTGCTATAGGAAATGATGAGCAGGTGGACTTCAGAAAAACCTGGAAAGGCTTACATGAACTGATGTAAAGTGAAGTGAGTAGAACCAGGAAAACATTGTACACAGTAATAGCAATATTGTATGATGATCAACTGTGAATGACTTAGCTATTCTCAGTAATACAATGATCCAATACAATTCCAAAGGACTCATAATGAAAAATGCTACCCATCTCCAGAGAAAGAACTGATGGAGTCTGAATACAGATCAAAACATTTTAATTTTATTTCTTTTTCTTTTTTATGTATCTATTTTCTTTCACAACGTGACTAACATGGAAGTACGTTTTGCGTGACTGAACATGTATGACCTATATGAAATTGTTCGCCTTCCCAATGAGGGGGGAAGGGAAGGGACAGAATTTTAAGCTTGAAAATTTTAAAAGTGAATGTTAAACATTGTTTTTACATGTACTTGGGGAAAAATAAAATAGATTAAAAAAATTAGTGCTCCAGAAGAGTAATGGACTGCTATGTTCTAGGCTCTCTCTCTCTCCCTCCCTTTCTCTTTCTCTCTCTCTCTCTGTGGGGGTCCTCAAACGAAGAAATGGATAACCATTTGACTAAGATGTTAATAGAAGGGATTCTTGTTCAGCATGAATTAATTAGATGGTCTCTGAGGGCTTGAGATTATGTGAAACTCAAACAATCCCTAACATCTCTGCAAATTGGGCTTTTATTTATCAATTACCCTGTATGATGATTGCCTGAGTTGCAGTTATGTATATAACCAAGACAGAAACCCAAAGATAATCATGAGATAAAAATATACTTCTTGTAACCTTTTTTGTCAGTTTAATTGGTGATTGGTACACTATCATTAAATCCTCTAAGGCATATAGGACTATTTTTGTTCCTTCAGATCCAGAACCAGACTAACAAAGTATACCTTTTGGTTTTTTGTTGTTGTTGTTGTTTGTTTTTTGTTTTTAGCTAGGCAATGGGATTAAGTGACTTGCCTAGGGTCACACAGTTAGTAAGTGTTCTGTGTCTGAGGCCAGATTTGAACTCAGGTCCTCCTGAATCCAGGGCCAATGCTCTATCCACTGTGCCACCTTGCTACCCCGAAAGTATACCTTTTGATAGTTTTCTTTACATCCTTTGATTTGTCATGAATTCAACCATCTCATCTCATCTCTGGTAATTTTGAGTTTAGTCTTTTTAAAAATGAGATCAGATTGGTTTAGTTTCCTGTCTTTGTTGGTCTTTTTTTTTTTTTAAATCACTTGTTAATTTAACAGGCTTTGTGTTTCATTTATTTGTCTCTTATTTGATTGTCAAAATTTCTACTTTATGCTAGTTTGGGGATTATTAACTATTGGGATTTGTAGTTTTTTAAAAAAACTATATGCTCAATTTGTTAACACTTTCATTGATTTAAATATTCATATACATATGTGTGTGTGTATGTATGTATAATACACACACACACACACACACAACCCAAGGGCTAATTTAGATATATCCCAAATATTTTAATGTGTTGGTTCATTCTTTTTAATATAATTACTCATTTCCATTATTTATATCTTGGCCCACTCATTTAAGATATATTTGATTCTTCATTTAGGTCTGCATTATTATTATCCTTACTATGTTTTAAAATGTTTAATATTTTAACCTTTCTGTATTGAGGATTTTAGGTCCTACAATGTCCTCAGTTGTTTTGTATAAGTCAAACAACTCTTTGATTCCTATTCAATAATTTCCAGAGTTCCAAGATAGTTTTCCCAGTGTTCTCTTCTGATCCATAATTGGCTCTTATTATGTAGATTTTGATGTCTGAAAGAGGGATATTGGAGTTATCTGTGATTATTATCTCATCTGGGTACTTTTTTGTTGACAATTTAGTTAGTTTTTCCCTTAGTACTCAGGTACTATGCTATTTAATGCATATGTATTTAATATAGATCTTGTTTCACTACTATGGTGCCTTTAATTATAATGTAATTCCCTTTTTTCTCTCCCTGGATGTTATCTATTTTTACTACTGCCTTATCCGAAATTGAATGCTATTTCTGCTTTCTAGATTCTACTAATGTGCAATAAATTTTACTTACGCTCCCCACTTTCACTCATTGTGTAAAGACATCTGCATTTCTTTTATATAGCAAGTTGTTCTTTTCCATTTTATAGGTATTTAATCAATTAACCATTAAATTCTCTTCCCCTACCAACTCATACATTATCTCTTTAAAAAACCACACACAATGTACTTTCACTTTATTTTTCTTGAAACAATTTGTGTCTTCCTGATGCAGAAACATCTCTTGCCTCCTATGCCTTTCCTAGTCCAGACTTGGATTAAATCTAGCCATGTTTTGTTTTTCCATTGGCCCTAGGCATTTGTAGCTTTTTATGACTTAAAGCAATATAATCTCTGTTGCTGCCCTTGGGCATGAGACCTGGGTTCTAGTCACAGTATTACAGTGTAAGGCTGGAAAAGACCTCAGAGCCCATCTAGTCAACTTCTCATTTTACAGATAAAGCAACTAAGGCCTACAGAAGTTAAGTGACTTGACCGAGGTCATACAGATAGCAAACATCAGAGTGGGGATTTGAACCTAGATCTTATCGCTCAAGACTCAGTCCTCTTGCCACTAACTTCCAAAGTGACCTTAATTAAATCATTTCACTTCTATCGCCTTTAGAGTCCTACACAATAGAGGGTTGAAATAAGTCATCCCTAAGATCCTGTTCTACTTTTATGTTGTGATTTTTTTTATCAGATTGTGAGTAATAAACAAGATGACTTGTACAAATGACTGTTAAATGATAATGCTACTTGCATTCTATATATTATGTTCGTGGTAGTCAGTTGGCCATGCACATTTTATTGCATGTAGAATATGCAAATGTTTTTGAAGACACCTTAGCCAGACAAGGACTGCACTTTAAAAAAAGGCATATGACAAAACACGTGAGAGCCATTGGTATTATATATCCACCTTCAAGGAAATACTGAAAATCGATATCAAAAGAAATATTTTAATTTTGAAAAAACCAAGATCTCTCAAAACAATGATTACAAAGCTTCATGATGCCATATATACATGTAAAAAAAATACTTCAGGACCCTGCATTCTTGCCCCTCGAGATGCAGCAATTAATATTCCTATTCATATAATCAATCTTCGAATGTTTTTTAAATTGTATATACTCTGTTCAGAATCTCTCTTCTTTCCACCTTTTGTGCTGTTTGACACAACAGGTATTTGTGCAGCCCTGGGAAATATTAAAATACATTTTTAATTTAGCGTTAAAGTGCACAGTACATCATATAGGAAACAATATGCTCGCCGCCAATCCAAATTACTCTTCAGCTAATGCCTCTTCCTTGGAACACAAGCTTCTGCTTTGGTTAAAGTTAGTTAACATTTAATGCACGCTGTCCTCCCAGTCAATTGCCGCTGAGTTCCCCGTTAGCTTCCTCACCAGGTGCTGCGCCGCCCGCTGATGAATATAATGATGACAATTGCCCTCTGCCGTTTGGGAAATGTGGTTGGCATTCATTCACATATATGCAAGACTTTGAAAGAATATCGGAATATTGGTCTCTGTAAATGCAGCATCAGAGTGAACACACATAAACTGCCTAAAATAGGTTGTGGTGTGATTGAAACACAGCTAAGTCTTTCAAACCACTATCTTTGCCTCTGTGTATTTTCCTGGCTGGTTCTTTTCTAGTGCTCTCTCTATTCTCTCCTTCACCCTGCTGCTTCATAAACCTACACTTGCTTAGCTCCCTGGGTCTTAGTTTCCTCATCTATAAAATGAAGGGGTTGGACTGAAGCCCTTGTGGGGTCCCTTCCAGTTCTTCACCTATGATCCTAAGCTTTCTTGCTCTGCTGTCTCTACCAGACGCCCTTTAGACTACATGCAGCATCTTCACATGGCTGGCCTGAGGACTTGAGATTCATTTCTGGGGTTTCACGACAAAGAAAAAAAATCTTGCATTCTTTTAAGAATTGCCTGGAAACCCTAAAAATTCCTTTCCTCCCCCACCCCAACCCTAGCCCACCCACTAAAATAGAATAAAATAAACTTTTTACATCTCAGAAACTTTTCCTTTTTTAAAAAAAATGGCAGTTGTAAAAAGTATCACTCCACTGAATCCAGGTGCAATGGACCTTAAATGAACTTTGACAACTTCATCAATACTTTTCCTTTTATGCCGGGCCCACTAAAGACCTTTTTGGTTAAAGAGTAAACTTTTTATCTTCACTTTCTTGTGCTGTTTTCTCAGTATCTGCCTCTAGTGCTGAACTCTTTTAAGTTACCCAGGTTACAGTGCAAAATTATATTTCAAGATTCATGATGCTAACTCCTATTCTTTGTGTTAAAAGTTTAATGTCTTGTGCATAGTAAAAATAAGTATCAATCAAAAAAAATAGTTGTTCACATTTTGTCTTCAAGTTTAATCTTTCCTTTTTATCATCACAGCTATTTACAAATAAATTGTGGGTGCTCTCCTGATTTAAGTCAATTCATTAGTGTAGGGGACAACAGGACTGCTGGAATGTAAGAAATTGAATGGAATGCAGAGATAGAAATTAGGCTGATGTTCCACAAAGCAAAATACGAACAATGCCTCCCCAAGAAAACAGCTGTCATTGAAGCACCTATTTTGTGGAATTCTTAAAAAATCGTATACACTAGAAAACATGATTACTAAAGTCTACAACTACTGCACACCAAATAGGATAGAAAATAACTAAATATTTATAATATTAAAATAAAGTGTTTAACCACAAAAAAGCAGTAATAAAATACAGTTTTCTAATTTACATTTTGCATCCAAAGGATGAATAACAACTTACTAATAAATAATATTTATATAAATATTTTGTATGTTCTAAATAGTTTTTAAAAGGCAATGGGTCTGAAGCAACATCCTGAAAAAATCTGATGGTGAAAACCCTAACTCCCTCCCCCCAAATGTATGAGTTTGGTACTAATAAAATGAATGCATTTGGCTGCAAAAACAGCTGTCCTCGGTGCTTTGGTAAATGCAGCGGGTGAATATGGAAGGAGGAAGAAAGCTCCATTGATTAGAAGTGCTTGCTCATTTCTTAATGGTTGCTAGTTCTTGGCTGCACCACTTCAAGTCTCTAGGCTGGATTTCAGATGTGAAAGGAAGAATTTCTCTCTCCCAATGGAAGGACTTTCAATGCGCTTCTGGATTGGGAATTTGGAGGAGTGCTGTGGGAAGGGAGTAACTGAATTCAGGAGCAGAGTTCTTGACCTCTGGTGAAGTTGGGTTGATTTAAAGAAGAGATGGCGGTTTCATGTGAACAAAGCCTTTGTTACAGTGATATCTAATAATGCTTGAACTGTAATGCTCACTTTGACCAGGCCTTTTTCCTCAAGGATGTGATGTGGTAGACAAAGTTTTTCCTAAAAAATAAAAAAAGAAATCAAATAAATCATTTGGTGACCTGATTCTACTAATCTTACTGCATATAAAAAGTTAAACCCACTATTGGAAAAGTTAGGAATAATCATATTTATGTAACCCCAGTGTAGAAACATGCCCCTTCCCTACAGCTCCCAGAACATTTGTTCATTTCCCCAAAATACTGCTCTTGATTTTGATAGCAGTTCTGCAAGGGTCCTTAATTGGATTTACTTAGGATAATATAATATGTCTGAAAGCTCAGAAAATGTTTATTTGAAAAGGCTGCATTGGACACAATCTGCCTGAGGCTACAAATATTGAGAAGGTAATTTCCTTTCCCAGAGAAATACTTTGCAAACAGCCACTTACCCAGTCCAAGTAACCCAAGTAATCTGGCCAAGGAGAATGGTGTGCTGATTTCATTTACAGCACGGACTGTGACCTCCTGAGAGCAGGCAGAGATCTTTGGGTGAGCTAGTCAATTTCACTCCCTTACTTTTAAGGCTATTTGTAAACACAATTCTAACTGCAGTCTTCAAAAACCTCCTTTTTTTTCCCCTGCTAAGACATTTCCACTATCTTCCAAGGCTGCATTTGGCCTTCTGGTTTCTTTAAATGACATTGTGGATTTCCTTAGCAGCTCAGAGAACTGGAAAGGACAGCAGAGGTTATCTGGTTCAATGCACAGCTGAAAAGCAAATCCCTTTTTACAACTTGACCCTCCAATAGTCATCTAACTAACTTCCCCATCTAGTGATAGAATTAGTGGGGAACTTATTCTTAGTTTTCTCATCTATGCAATTTGGTAGTTGGATTAGATGATCTGGAATGTTTCTTTCAGCTCTCAAACTCAGACCTATAAGGCATGAGGCAGCCTCATGAGGCAGCCCGTTCCAGTATTAGACAAGTCTAATTCTTAGAAATTAATTCTTTATTTTGAATTTGCCAAAGTCTGTTTCAAAACACGATAGTCAGAAATTAGTGTAATACTCTAGATGTGGGTTGACCAGGTAGTATGGTGGGGGCCCTGACCTCTTAGGACAACTATTCAGAAGCAGTGTGTAATGCTTAGGTGTGGTTTAAGATCATAAAGATGAGAACATTTAGATTTAGAAGGTTCCTCCAAGATGAAAGGCAGCATGGCAGAGAGGAAGGACCACTGAATCTGGAGTAATAGGACCTTTTTCCTCATCTTACCTCTGTCACTTGTTACCTGTGTACTTGTAGGCAAATCTTCCTCTACTGTACAAAATGAAGGGGATTAGGGTAGATGGCCTCTAAGGTCACTTCTAGCTATACTAAGATTCCTCAGTCCTAGTCCAAACCCTTCATTTAACAGATAAAGAACTGAGGCCCAGAAAGGTAACTTCCTCATGGCCATGACAGTAGTGATAAGAGTCAGAATTTGAACCCAGATCCTCTCGATTCCAAATCTAGTACTTCTTCCACAGCTCTATGCTAGCTGGTGATTAGATAAGGACTGAACTAGAAATTAATCTAAGTAATGGAATCTAGATCAACGTTGACAAGTTTAAAGTTGTTAACAGATATTTCAATTTCCCAAGTTTGTTCGATGTCTCTAGTCAAGGCAGATTTTTCTTCCCTTTTTCTAGTGTGTGTTTGTGTTGATTTTGTGACTGTACACTAAAAGAAGAAAGAAGCAGACCTGAGGAACAAAACCCGGACCCCAAACTTGATCTTCCAAGCATACAGCATACCCGTATTACACCCCAGAATCCTCCTCTATCACTTGATGGCAGGATAGAAAACGAGCTTGAGAATTCTGGACTGGAAGTCCTGGGATGCTGAGAACAGGACTCCTTCCCGCCCCTACGCTTTCTATGATCTAGTCCAGGGGTGGGAAACCTGCGACCTCGAGCCCACATGTGACCTTCTAGGTCCTCAAGAGCAGCCCTTTGAATCCAAACTTTACAGAACAACATCCTAGATGATTACTTGTTCTGTAAAACTTGGACTCAGTCAAAAGGCTGCACTCAATGACTACATTAGAATGACTTTGTGTATATATGTGTGTGGTTCCTACAATGCTGAAGAAATGATGCAAAGTGAAGAGCCTCTCATGATTTTAATTTGACGTACACTTTTATAAACAGAAGTGATCTTACATTACGTAAAACAAACTCCTCGCCACATTTTCATTATCAGGAAACGCAGATTTCAGCAAAACTTCTCCAGCCTAACCAACAACATATTATTCTTAGTTTTCTCATCTCTAAAATTTGGAAGTTGGATTAGATGATCTGGAATGTTTCTTTCAGCTCTCAATCTCAGACCTATAACTCTGACCTTCTGAGGCAGCCCGTTCCAGTATTAGACAAGTCTAATTCTTAGAAATTAATTCTTTATTTTGAATTTGCCAGTCTGTTTCAAAATATGATAGTCAGAAATTAGTGTAATACTCTAGATGTGGGTTGACCAGGTGGTACAGTGGGGGCCCTGACCTCTTAGGACAACTATTCAGAAGCAGTGTGTAATGCTTAGGTTCAGCAAACTACTTGCCCCCAGTTAGGACTGAGGGAAAGGAAAGCTGAATGTTCTTCCTCCAGCTAGCTGCCTCTCAGCCCTCTCTCCTTCCTTATTATTCTCTCCCACTTGCCTCCCCTGGCTGAGAAGTGCCAGGTTGTTGGCTCCTCATTACTTTTCCATTCTTGAGATGAGGCTGGAGAAGGGAACCAGACTCTATAAGCTGGCTAGCTGCCAGATCTTTCTTTACTCTGGACCAGAAGTTGTTATGCCCAAATTTAAAGCTTTTAAGAAGTTACTAGATGTAACTTTTTCATTATTAGGAAACACAGATTTCAGCTACACTTCTCCAGCTTAACCAACAACATATTCTCCTTATTTCTAAGGCCAAGGCCCTCAAATGAAACGAGATAATATTTGTTAAACACTTAGCATAGTGCCTGGCACATGGTAAGCAGTTAATACATGTTTATTCCCTCTGTCCCTCTCCATGTTTGTCTTTTAATAGAATGCACAAAGACTGTTAACAGAATTTACAAAATGCCTCACAGTATACAATGTCCATTTAGAACAACTCAATCGTCTTTAGAAAATCAGAATTACAGGATTTGAAATAAATGTATCTGGTCAGTCCTTCTGTCTCCATGAAGATCTATCTTATGTCACCATAGATGAAGGGTTCTCTATCCTTTAAAGAAGCTTCTGTTGAATAATAACAAGGTATCTCTTAACTTGCAATCCCATCTATCTTCTCTAGCCTTATGGGATTCAGCCTACCCTAACCCAATTTGCTGTAAATCTCTATCCTTACAGAATTGTACTATAGGGCCTGCAAGTGGTCAAACAACATGAATCTTAAGCATAAACTTTTTTTTTAATTCATATAGAGAGATGTACTTTAGGTACCACACAACCTATTCTGAAATAATCTGTTATTGGCATGTGAAAAGGAAAACTGACACCCTATTTGGGTGTGTGTGTGTGTGTGTGTGTGTGTGTGTGTGTGTGTGTGTGTGTGTATTTTAAGTTCTGCCACAATTATGAGATGAGCTGGAAGGGAAAAAGTTTACCAAATCTCACAGAGTCCTAGTCATTTCACCAATATCACAGCAAGAAAATTTACTGAGCAGAGAAATTCATGGGTGCCATTCTTCAAGTCTGTCGCTTGCATGTGCTCATACTTTATGTCACCACCGAAGCTGCTGACTTCATAAAGCCAGGGCCCCAGCGTGCTTAGTACTGCCAACACTGTCACCAGATATAAAAGAGACTAGACAACAACAGTAAATCACACACAGAATTCCCTCTCCCTGAGGCTCAGGCTGCAAACCACTAACCTCAGCTTTCCCTTCTTTATCTTTCCCAAGATGGGAAAGTTAGGAAATTCATACTTCTGTCTTAGGAACAACAGCTAAAGACAATTAAACTTTACCTTCAAAGTTGGACCCAGGGGCAATGAATAATACGGCCAATGAAAGTTATAAGGTATTTGACATTTCCCTGGTGAAACAGGAACTGAGGAAGTCTAGCTCAGGAGGCTTCCCTGGACTGATTTAGTGCCAGAACTTAAAAGAAGAAAAGGGATTTCATCTGGGGCTGCTTCCTTAGCCCTTGAGGTCTATGGCTAGGACAAGGGGCATAATATCTGGACAGTAGAGAAACTGAGAAGAACAGCCTCCCATTTTAGCCTGAGGCAAATGTAGCAAATGTTGCTAAACTTCCCTAACCTTCGTTCATGGCTGCTCTGCCTCACTCCAGCTGGGCAATTTCAGAGTAAGGTCTGTTTGGCTGTCCATAATCAATGGCCAAAACACCTAGAGGAGCAAATATATCTGTTGACCAGCTAGTAGGTAGGATAATGATTGAAAGAATACCTGAGTCAGCAACCTGGGTTCTAGTCCTGGGTTCTGGTCAGAGGCAATGGAATATGGTGGGAAGGAAGTTGGACTTGTGGTCAGCGGAGACTGGGTTTGAATCTTGGCTCTGACACCTTACGGTTAATTACGACATTCAATAAGATGCTTAACCTCTCTGAGACTCAGTTATAAAAGAAGGCAGAAGATAAATGCATACTAGTAGAGGGGAAAGCAGTTTTGAAAACCTTATGGTTCTATTCTGCAAATGTGAGCTATGAGGGCTCTCTGTGACACTGGATGACTTGCTTAATCACCCTGAACTTTGGTTTCCTTACCAGCAAGAGAATGATATCCTTTCATAAGATTGTTAGGATCATCTAGTGGGAAGTGAAAGAAGAGCCATGAGAAGTACACATGCCACAAAGTCAGAAATACTAAGTTGTTGTTCTTATGACTATTCATATAAATTGATCTGGTTGGTTTTAACAGGAATAATAATGATCCCCATTTTACAGATGAGGAAAGCGAGGCCCAGAGAAATTAAGAAAATGGGCAATGCCTCCACATGAAAAAATTCCACCTCAGAAACATCAGGAAAATTCTCCCAACCAGTCGACTAGAAATGGGATATAGGCACAGGCAAAATTATTGCCTATTTA